CCCTCAAGTTCCGAGTTCTGCCTGCTGCCAGACCGTCCAGTTTCTCCCTGTATGAGCCCTGGGACCCCAGAGATTTCCGGAACCGGAGTTCAGAGCAGTCGGGAGCTTGTGACTCCCTCCCGATTCAAAAAGACAGCAGCGTCCTCAGGTGCCCGCCCCTTTCCGCGCGCGCCGGAGCCTCCGTACCTCTGCACTTTACTTTCGTAGCTCCTCTGAGTCTGTGTGCTCTTCTCTTTCCTTCTAGTTGTAGAATTTCCACTCAGCCAGCCTTCCTGTGGTTCTGGATGATGACCGTTCTGTCTTTTAGTTGTATTTTTGAAGTTGTTGTCGGAGGCAGCAATTTCCGGTGTTTTCCTATGCCGCCATCTTGGTCTCTAAGCTCCTTTAGTTCTTTAGACACCTTCTAAAATAGTTGATTTAAAGTTTTGTCTATAAAGTCCCATGTCTGGGGATAGTTTCTACTGATTGCTTCTTTTCCTATGCATGTACCATTCTTGTCTCATACTTGTTTTTGTTTTTTTTTTAAAGATGTGTCTATTCCTTTAACTATTTATTTAATTGCTTTCAGAGAGGAAGGGAGAGGGAGAGAGAGATAGAAACATCAATGATGACAGAGAATCACTGATCAGCTGCCTCCTGCACTGCATGCCCCTGCAGAGTGTCTAGGGAGGGGAAGCAGCTGTGGTGCCTGAGGCTGACTTCCAAGAGGCCCACAGCACTGTCAGGATCGTGCCAGTGGCACCAGTCTGTCGGTGCCTGGCCCATTCTCCAGAGATTGGGCCTGCAGGACTACTAAGGGAGTGAGTGTCTGCCTCCGGGATGGTAGACTACCAGGACGGGTCGGTCAGCTGAGAAGTGCTCCCACTGTGGGAGCGCACTGACCACCAGGGGGAAGCTCCTGCATTGAGTGTCTGCCCCCTGGTGGTCAGTTCACATCATAGCAACCGGTCCACCAGTTGTTCGGTCGCTTAGGCTTTTATATATAGAAGATAATGTTCACTGTAATTTGGACTATACAGAGTAACAAGTCACTCTCAAGATTCCAAATTAAAATATGTCACTAATTGGTTTATATGTTTTTTAAGAAAGATGGGGTTTTTTTTTTTACTGATTTTGTAGAGAGAAATGAGAGGGAGAGAGAAACATCGATGTAAGAACGAAACATCGATCAGCTACCTCCACTAATCGGGGATTGAGCCACAACCCAGGCATGTGCCCTGACTGGAAATCAAACCGGCAACTTTTCGGTGCATGGAATGACACAAAACCAACTGAGCCACACTGACCAGGGCACTAGGGAATTGGTTTAGATTTGTGATTTTAAGTAGGAATGTTACTAAGTTTAAAATCAGTATTGGCAGATGACAAATACGCACATGAAAAGAAGCTCAATATCATTAATCACCAGAGAAATTCAAATTGAAGCCATGAGACACCACTACACACCTTTTAGAATGGCTAAAATCAAAAAGACTGACCATATCCAGTGCTGGTAAGGATTTGGAGGGACTGGAACTCTCCTACACTGCTGGTGGGAATGCAAAATGGTACAACCACTATGGGAACAGCTGGGCAGTTTAAGTTAAACATACACCTACCATATTATCCAGTCACTCCACTCCCACACATTTGCCCAAGAGAAAAAGAAATATATGTCCATACAAAGACTTGTACACAAACATTCATAGCAGTTTTATTTACAATCACCAAAACCGGAAACAACTGAAATGACTAATAGGTGAATGAATGAATAAACAAACTGTGGGGTATCCACATAACGGAATACTACTCAACAACAAAAAGGAAAGAAGTACTGATATATGCCCCCCCAAAAAATCTCAAAATGATGCTGCGTAATAGAAACCAGACAAAAAGGGTACATATTATATGATCTCACATATGTAAACCAGAAAATGCAAACTAATCTGTAGTAACAGAAAGCAGTTCCATGGTTACTTGGGAATGGGGGAAGCGGAGAGAGATGGGAGGAAAGGATTGCAAAAAGGGGCGCAAGGAAACTTGGAGATGAAGGATATGTTCTATCTTAATTATGGTTTCATAGTTAAGGTTTCACGAGTGCATACATATACATCAAAACTTATATATTATAGTCCTAGCTGGTTTGGCTCAGTGGATAGAGCATTGGCCTGCAGACTGAAGGGTCCTAGGTTTGATTCCAGTCAAGGGCATATGCCCAGGTTGTGGGCCCGATCCCCAGTAGGGGGTGTGCAGGAAGCAGCTGATCAATGATTCTCTCTCATCATTGATATTTCTCTCTCTCTCTCCCTCTCCCTTCCTCTCTGAAATCAATAAAA